CAGCCGGGCAGCTCCTCTTTCTTCCCGGACCCTTCTCCCCGTCAATCCCCAGCCGGATTGACGTCTCCGCTCTCCCACCTCCGGGTCCCCGGCTGCGGGCGTGGCTCCCCTCCCCATCCTCCAGCAATGGAGCAGGGCGGGGGTCCTTACCTCTGCGTGGATTTCTGCGTCCTCGGCGGCTGCGCCGCGGCCCAGGCAGCCCAGAAGCACCAGTAGCAGCAGCAGCAGCCGGGGCCGTGCAGCTGCCTCCCGACCGCCGAGGAGGCTGCCCGCGCCGCTCGGCCGTCCGGACGCGCTCTGGTCGCTGCCCATGCTCTCGGCTCCTAGTCTGGTCTGGAGCGCTGCACGCCGGGCTCCTTTGCTGGCGGGTGCCGGGTCCCCGTGCGCGGCTTGAAAACTTGCGACGCTCCCTGGCTCCGGCCCGGCGGGCGCGCGGCGGACTTCTGGCTCTAGGTCCTTGCTGGAGCCGCTCAGGTCCCCTCGGCAAATTCCCAAGCGCGAGGAGAAGCGGGCAGGGGCAGGTCCGGGCGCGCGGAGCCGGCCCGCTGGAGGGGGCCGGGCCGGAGCCGCGGGCCGCAGGGTCCCGCAGCGTCGGCGCCCAGCGCCCGGCTCCCGAGAGCAAGCGCAACTCCTGAGCCTTTGTCTGGCTCAGCGCTCCGGCCGCCCGGACCCGCCGCGCCCCCTGCGCTCCGAGCTCCCTCTGTCCATGCCCAAGGCCCGGCGCTGCCCAGAGCGCGCGCCTCCTGCCCGCGGCTCTGCTCACCGCTGCGCCCAACAGGGCCCGGGTCCCCAGGCAGTCCCGGGAGGAGCGCAGGGAACTGGCGCCCGACGTACCCGGCGAGTTCCGCGCGGCTCCCGGCGCTCCCGACCCTCCTCCCCGCGCGCTGCGGCCGCCGCCGCTCTTAAAGGGCCAGTACGCTCCCTGCGTGCGGTCCCTGGCGGGGCGCTGGGGCCAATACCCTAACCCGAGGCTTCCGAGTAGCAGGTGCCGGTAGTCAAGCCCCGGCAGGTGGGGCTATTCTTCCCAGATGGCGACAAACACCCCTAAGCTCGCCCTGCGTCACTCCATCCCAGGTTCTGAACGTGGGGGTGACCCCAGTTGGATCCTTTTAGAGGGCGCAAGGAAGGCGTGGTTTCCCTGAAAGGAGGAATGAAGATTCCTCCTCTCCTCGCCCTGGGTGGTTGAGAATGGGGAATACTGAGGCAGAGGTGGACGGGAAGGAGGGCTAGGAAGGGACCCAAGTGTCGTGTTTTGACTAAAATAAACGAATGCACAAAAACACTGAAACAACACAAAACTCTGGAAGTTTGTTGGCCAAGGCCCCTTTTCAAAGCGTCTTTTGGACCCTTTAGTAACTTTCCTCAATCACAAAGTGAGGGGGGAGTTGGGCGCCTCCGGCGGGAGGGGTGGCACAGGGTTAGGAGTCCCCATTTGCCCGCTGTTTGGATGTGGACAAATTATTTAGTCTTTCTGGGCCTTCATGTTTTTTATCTGGAATGTGGGGCAAGGAGTTGGGGTGAAGATTAGGTGAGGGTTCTGGCTCCTGCTCATCACACATTAATTTCCAAACTGAAGCCAGGCACTTCTTGGCCACTATTATATGCAAGTGAAATGCCCACTGAGGCTCTGGACCCGGGGTTGGGGGGGGGCAACCTTCCCTCGGATCTTAATGTGCTAGATTTAAATGTATTCCAGGAGTGGTCTGAGATCAGTCCATGTGGGTGCTGGAGGCCAGAGCTAGGGGGACCCGGGATCGAAGGTCCCCTGAAGACTCTGCATAGGGACCTAGGACTGCCCTGACACAGGGCCCTGGCCAGGCAGGGCAGCGAGGTCAAGGAGGTCAGGAGGTGAGTGGGGCGGAGATCTCACCTCTCTGCAGACCAGGAAATAAGAGCTTCCCTTACCTGAGGGCGGTTTTCCTTAAAGTGGGCCCTTGGGGCTCCTTAGCCAGCTTGCCTCCCTGAAATTGGAGGCAGGGCGAGAGCCTTGGAAATGGCCTGTTAGAACCGACCTGCCAGTGAAGAAAAAGCAATGGTGGATGTTACCTGGCAGAGCTTCCTCCGAGGAAGGAAGTTCGAGTTTGGCAAATTCATTGATTTTCTTTAACTTCTCTGTAGGGATCCCTCATATGGGAAATGGGTTTCTAAATCTCCACTTTGAAATTTGCTTTGGGGAAAAGTACAGTGGTTTTCAGAAATGGACATCAGGGTTGCCCCTGTTTAAATGAATGCATTGCAATCTTTCCCTGTGTTTATTCGCATTCAGCCAGTTTTTCTTTTTTAATAAAAGTGGGTTTATGGGACCACTGAATAAGAAAGGAGCCCAGAAGGTGAGCAGCATCTGTAGAGGCCTGCAGCTGGATAAGTCTAGAGGTTGTTTTCTCTTATGGGGATCCCTCTTGAAAGCGGCTTCCCCTGTGACCAGGGGTTCCCAATGATTAGTTCTGGCTCCTACAGGTACCGTGGGCAAGGCGACTAAGTTTCTGTCCTTTCTGGCCAGAACCTAAGATCATAAAGAGGACACAAGGAACTGAGAAGCATGAGCAGCAGCCCTTGGTCAGCCAGCTTTAAATACCACAGCTTGCCAACATTGTTTCATCTCTATCCTGACCCCCCACCCCCAACTTTTTTTTTCTTCTTGGTCTTTTGAATCAAAGCCTGTTTACTGTGTTTCATAGCATAGTTTCATTTTGAGACCCTGATGTGGTGTCAGGGGTTGTATAGAAAGCTCTGGACTGAAAGCCAGGTCATGAGGTTCCTATCCCAGCCCAAATTTGCTGGATGATCTGGAACATGTTATTCCCCCCTGAGGATTTGTCTCCTCACCGTAAAGCTGGCCCAGCTCGTAGGAGAGGTCTGGTTCAGTGAAAGAAAGTTGCTCAGGCCCAGGACCCTTTCCCCACACAGCTCCCCAGCTGCAAGGGCCCCCTCAAGGTAGCGCACCAGGCCCACCTCAAAGGTGAGGCTGCCACTGAGGGAAAACCTGAATAAACCCTCTTGCATTTATCACCCATTTTAGCTGTCCTGTAGCTCAGCAGTACACTCACATTCACTTTGAGATAGGTAGATAACACTTCTGATATATGAGTCATGTGGTAAAGTTGGTTTTCAGCAATTTTGAGGTAGTTCAAATCAGCTAAAATCACTAACCCTTCACTTGGGCCTGGTCAGGTGTCCGATGGGTGCCCTTTTGACATCAGAGAGCTAAAAATACCATCTGCAGAGCATGCTAATGCTGCCATTTTCTGAAGAGTCATAGGACTCTTGGACTATGCCTGAGCAGAACTCAGATGACTTCACTTTTTCCTACTCTGATCACCCTTCCCCATGCCTCAGACCACCCTGCCTCTTTACCCCATGCATCCCTAAACCCTGTCCTGGGGAGGCAGATTTGAGACTTGGGACTCCTGCCTCTTCTCATTTGGCTGCCTGATGAATAAACTCTTTCTCTTTTGCAAAATTCACCGTTTCAGTGCTTGGCACAATTGAGGCAGGCAAAACAGGTCCGGTTGGGTTGCAAGGCAGTTCCTGGGACTCCTGGTGCCAAGACAAGGAATAAACAAGCAAGCCGAGGTAATTGCTCTTTCCCTTGGAAACAAAGCTGGGGTGGTCTGGAGAGGCGATGGAGAGGGCTGGGAGTGCCAGGTGGAAACCGGCCAATCAGGCCATGAGATGACCATTTCCCTGCCCTGTGGGAAACATCTGAGGACGCTGGGGCCAGATGTGTTGATTCGGTTCTCTCACTGGTGTGATAAAATCCTCATCAAGAGCATTTCTTCCTTGCAAGCCAGCAGCTTAGGACCTCAGCCTGTTCCAATCTTTCCTTTTCTCAAGAGTTCTCTCCCTGGTTTCTGGAGTACATCTCCTCTTATGGAAGAGCGTCAGCTGCTTCTGCACTGTCAGCGGGAGTAGAGCACTTTGCTCTGCTCTGGAGGCACATCTGATGTCTGGGTATCCGCCAAGCCCCTGCTGCCTGGCCTCCTCACGCCCAGCCTGGCCTGCCCACCCCTCCCCCCCAGCGCAACTTCTGCTTCCTTCCTCAATCGCCACCATCCATTCTCCATTGAAGAGCTGCTTATTGATCTTGGCCCATTCCTCAAAGTGGCTGCTCTCTAATTCCATCCTCTGCCGGACACTACAGGAGTTACATCCTCCCCAGGGAAGCAGCCAGTTTTGGGAAGTATGAAGTTGGGGCTAGGGATTCCTCTCCACACACCTTGCCTGCTTTTTTCCCATTCTAAGCACCGGGGTCAGACTTTGATTTGCCACGTTGTTTGCAAGACAGAAAACATGACTGGCCCCCTCTCTCACCAGTGTGATCTCAAATGCAAGAAGAGGAAAGCGACTGACCAGTCAGGCAGGAGTCAGACCAGTGTGGTGGTTTCAGGGGAATAGGTACGCACGTGGCCTCCTGAGTGAGGATAGAGAGGTTTTGCCAGGGCACAGTGGCAGCCAGAGCAATGGGCCCCTCCCCCTGCACCTTTCCCTCAGGGCTGAGCAGGAGGCTTGTGGTGTGCAGTGCTACACCTGGGCCCTGCCAGAACAGTTGTTGACGTTAGGGCTGGGTCAGGCCATGATTTTTCATGCACCCAAGCAAGTCACTTAACAAGTTCTTCCATAAAGCAACAATCATTCCTACCCTGGTTACTGTTCAGGGGATTATGGGAAAGAGTACATGAGAAGGTCCTAGGACACAATGAGTGTTACAGCAGTGTAAAGTCTAAACATCTGTGCTTCGACCCTTGAGGAACGGGAAAGGCGATCCCTTGCCACATGCCCAGCCCTGGCTACATGTGCTCCGGCAGCCTCCCGTGTGCGGGCCTGGCAGGGCTGGGCGACCCCACCCTCATTTTACTGAAACCTCATTAGTGCCCCTTTAGCCCACCTTAGAAGTCATAAGAGACTCACAAGAGAGCCTCTAAATTGTGAAGCACACCTGGGGAGGCAGGGACAGAGAGTCACCTCTCACTCACCTTCTTGCAGTCCAAAACAAGACTGAAAAATTTTTAAAAATGCAATTTTTATTTGTTGAACATAATTTGAAACTATAACAAAAACATTTCTTCATCTATTACCAGAAACCCAGATAATAACTGGAGAGGGCTGGCCCTTCACCTTGGTGAGGGATTGAAAAAATAAAGGTCCTGTGCATCCCTGGTCCTCCCTCCGGGTTCCCTACAGAATGCCCAGGCACTGACAGGGGAAGTTGGGAAAGTTGGTGGGGAAGTCAGAGGTCACAGAGTGCTGGAGGCCGGGCTTTCAGCCATGGCTAGGCCAAAATGAAACATCTGCTCAAGTCTCCCCAGGCACCTGGCTGGGGGCGAGTGGGAGGAAAGAATGGAGAAAACTGATGCTGAACCACAAATTACCACCCTGTACCTTGGCCCCGAAATGGTCTCTGTTGGCACAGGAGGGGCTGGGATTAACAGAAAATAAATAAAAGTGACATACTTCAAGGAAGGAGGGTGACAGACTCTCGGAAGAATCCTATGTCCTTGCTTGACAGGGATAAGGCAGGGCATGATGATTTTAAAAAACCTGGTATGAGGCCAAGGGCATCAAAATACTAAACACAGAAGGGGGAGTGTCAGGGAGGGGGCTGTTCATTAGGGGGACTATGGGGGGGATTCCGGCTGAGTGTGGGTGGGCTCTCCTGGCAGCCCTCATTTTTCTTTTCTGCATAGCCACAGTGCAAGAATTAGGAAACCCAGGCTGCCCTCTACTGGTGACTCCTGGGAATGACCACAATACAGCTGCATCCAACCTGAAACCCCAAAGGACCAGGAGAAGCAGCCCCCAGGACAATCCAGGATGGCAACACCACTCAGTCCGGAGGCATGACTGGGCCTCTTAGAGGGAGGCTGGGAGTGTTCCCATGGACTATTCCTCTTCACGGCCTGGCCTGCAGAGGGGCCTGGACAAGTAAGGCTTCTGTGCTCACTTCAAAGGCAGGGAGAAGAACTTGTTCCCAGACTTGCAGCGCACCTGCTCGGTGAGCACGCGGAGCAGCATCTCAGAATCCTCAAACTCATCCAAGATTTCCTGCAGCCAGCAGCGGGACAGCACGGTCACATTAAGGGAAATCCCAGACCCAGAGGACATGGCAAACAAAAGCAGCCTTGTGAATTCCTTCAGAGGGTAGACAATGCTGAGGGGGAGGCAGCCGCGCAGTCCCCAGCTCTGCAGGAGCTGTCTGGTCTAATCACCTCTGCAATTTTGTGCCATCCATCTACCACCCCAACTTATAGATGAGGACACAAAGCTCAAAGCTCTGGGTTTCAGAAACCAGGGGGACCAGGACTGGGACTCAGGTCTGCTAGAGTCAGAAGTCCGTGCTCTCTGTTTCTCCCAGCATGACCGAGGCAGAGCAGGGAGGCTACTCCATGATGGTCTGTGGGCTGCACAGAATCTGTTTGCCTTACAAAGTGTTTTTAAAAATCGACATCATTTTCCAATATTTGAAAACTGGGAGATACACATAAAAATCTGCATTTCTGGCTTCTCTTGAAAAACCGAAGTGCCAGCTAAGCAGCATAAGCCACATTCCCACATGGCCTGCCTCCCCACCGGGGGCAGAGCATCAGCTGCCGGTCACTGCTGCCCATGTACTGTTGGTTCTTCCCCAGGGGCACTAATGGGAGGGTAAAACATCTCACCTACTATCAAATTGTGCTAGGTTCTGGGGGCTGGGTGTTCCTTACACCTGGCACCCTCCACTCACTCCCAGTACAGGCCAAGCCCAAGCCTTGCAGGGAAAACCAGCAGCCTCCTCACAGCCTCCTGCAACACACATCCCTAGGGATCTTATTAAAATGCATTTCTGCTTTCCTAGGCAAGGGGTGGGATCAAAGCAATAGTATTTCTAATAAGCTTCCAGGTACTGCTGGTGCTGCTGGTCCACGGACCACACTTTGAGTTTCAAGGTAACGTTTGAGGGTTTTTTTTTTGTGTTTTTTTTTTTTTTTTTTTTTTTTTGCCATTTCACTGGCTTCCCAGGCATACAGGTTTGGATGCTTAGTCCTTCCCCTCCCCAGTGTCCACCTTGTCCTTCCAGAGTTCAGCACTCTCTGCTCCTGCCCTGGGAATTTACCTGTAGTTCCTGCAGGCACTGTCCTTCTAGCTGGGGACGAGCATCGCCCACACACCAGGCCAGACTGATGTGGAATGAAGGGTCCTGTAGAGGAAAAGAGGGATGCAGGCTATCACCTGGATGCCACAGCAGGTCTGGGACAGAGCTGTCAGGATATTCTTGTTGGATCCCTGGCCTGTCTGAGAGATCTGACCCTTAGCGTTGATCCCAAGGACAGCAGAAAGATAAAATAGCCTGCAGTTGGTCTTATCCCCTTCCCCAAATTCACATATTGAAGACCTAACCCCACCATTTTGATGGCATTTGGAGAGGGGCCTATGGGAGTAATTAGGGCTAGATAAGATCACGAGGAAGGGACTCTCATGATGGGGTGAGTGCCCTTGGCAGGAGAGACTCTGGGGATCTTGTGCACTCCCACTTCTCTCCTCCAGGAGGGGAGGGCACAGTGGAAGGAACTGGTCTATAAGCCAGAGTCCTTACCACAAACCAACCCGGCCAGCACCTGGATGTTGGATAACTAGCCTCTAGAAAGTGAGGAAACAAATTTCTGTTGTTTTAGACACCCAGTTTATGGTATTTTATTATGGCAGCTTGAGCTAAGACAATCCGTTCTGAGAGGCTTTCCTTTAAATATCATATAGAGAGTCATTAAATCTGGGGATATGGAAGAGAACCCAGGATCTGACTCTGTTTTCCGATCTAGAACATCCTAACAGATGCCATACTTTCCAGATGAGATGAACAAAATTCAAAACATCTAAAATTTTAAAGAAATAATACTTATTTCCATTCAAGTTCATTGTTAAATATTTCAGCATGATTTTAAAAAATATATCAAATAAAATCAATGGGCCCTTTAAAGCCTTGACATTCCACCTGGACTCTTCAGTACCCCCAGAGAGCACGTGGCAGGTGCAGTAAAGTATGCAAAGCTACAACTATTCCCAGAGGGTCAATTTTGCTAAAAATTGTGGGAGATACTACTTCTTAAGAAATATAAAACAAACATGGAGACATTATGCAGTAGGAGACATACTGGACCATATTTAAAATATGGAGTTTTAAAAAATGTTAGACTTTGGATGGGCCGCATCTAGCTGCACCTCAGACCCCTCACCTCCCAGTGGCATGTGTCCTCTGTGGGCTGGCATCTGGGACACTCCTGGAGGGCTCTTTAATTTGCCTCTGATGAAGGCTTCTTTAAGGATGGCTTTATTCCAGTTAGAGACGGGCCAGTGGAGAAGCAGCAGCCCGTTGAAGAGATAATAAGTATCTCCATTCATTATCTCCAACCCTGTTCATTACCGGATAGAAAGTGGTGAGGTCGAATTCCTCCATGACTCTGTCAACCTCTGAAACCAGGTCCAGGCACTCGGCATGCCCTGAAGTGACCTCAAGCCCAACAAAGGTCCTAGGGAGAGGCAGATGCAAAGGAAACATGGGCATGAGATGCAGCCTCTGAGGGCACAGACCACCCAAGGAGGAGCGGGACGCACCAGGCAGGAAGCCTGGCCATAGGCTCACTCCACCTCCCTCCTGAGCTTCCAGGGCTGCTCCATAAGCCTCTCCTTCCTCCTCCTCCGTCTCTAAACCTTCTTTCCCCAGGTTCAACCCACATGGCTCCTGTTGCTACTGCTCTGCACTCTGCCCCCTGGGTCCACCTCTTCCCACAGTGCTCAGGCCGCTCTCCTGTGCAGAACCATGTAGTATGGTTAAAACCCTTCCTGACCCACACCTTCAGCCAGCCCCCATCCTGTTCTCAGGAAAACTTCTTAAAAAGGTGTTTGGTCCAGCTTCCCTGTCCCCTACTTCCTTGCCTCCTGTCTCCAAACCTTTGGCAGGAGTGCCTGCCAGTTGCTGATTGCTGATGACCTCCGTGTCACTAAAGCCAAGGATACTCCTCTGTCCTCACTTGTTCAGCGGTATGTGACGCTGCCAATTCCTCCCTCCTGGAAACCCAGTAGCTTAATAAATTTGTAGAGCACAGAATGAAGGAAGGAGTGAGCCCTTTCAGAGGTGCTGAGAGAGGGTGGCTCAGTGAGTGGAGGGGACATGGAGGCTCGCTCTGAAACCTTGGTAATGATAATTTCTTCTTATATTCATTTAATGCTTTTAAAATCCACTGGGCTCTTTTGAGCCTCACAACTGCCCAGCAATGGATGAATCAAGGGGAGGTGAGTGATGGTGTCACTGTGGGGATGCTGGTGTAGCACACAAAGGTCAGAGAGCAGAATGTGTGAGATAAAGGTTAAAACTAGGGATGCAGACGGGCAGGAGCAGGTTTTCTACCTTCACAGCTTTCTTCCCTATACCGAGAAGGGCCCCATCTGCTCCACCTCTGGGACCCCTCCCGATGTTCCCCCAGTTATTTTTGTTTCATTTTTGTATCACTGAGGATTGAACCTGGGGCCTCATAGGTCAGGCAAGCGATCTATCACAGAGCTACATCCCAGCCCTTTTTACTTTTTGAGACAGGGTCTCACTAAATTGCCCAGGCTGGCTTTGAACTTTGATCCTCCTGCCTCAGCCTCCTGAATGTCTGGCATTATAGGCATATGCCACCATGCCTGGCCTCCCAGTTCTTTTTCTTAATGAAAATTCAGATTTGGGAACAGCTTCCCTATAATCTGGCAGACTTGGTTAAAAATTTTACAAAAAGCACTCCACCAAAGACTCTTCTTCTGGTAGTGACTTGGGATCAGGGGGACACACCTGGTCTTCTCTTGATTGGTATAAATCTTTACACGGTTGGCAGTAAAGAAGAATCTGAAATTTAGAAGAAAAAAGATCATATTTCAGGAAGAATAAGAAAAAACAAACAGAAAAATAGTTTGATAAATAGCACTTGAGAAATAGAACTTTATACTTAATATTGTCACCTCATTATATAAATGGTAAACTGAACCCTAATTAGAGCTAGCAAGACCTTAACATCACCCTGTACAAGTATATGTAGTATCATTTAGATGCTAGCAAAAAATTTTTATTTTGATAAGAGCAGTTCATTCCAAACAATTTGAGACTATCTCAACTTTACTGATGGGAACTGAGAAAGTCTTAATCACCAGTGGGTGATAACAAATCATATGAGGGCCAAATTGTGCCTTGCAGGTTAAAACAAGGACAACACTGATTTAGTCTAAGCAATAACAAGAACACTTCCCATGTGCAAGGGCTGAGCTTCGGGTTTGGGGCTTATCAGCTCACGGGATCCTCACATGAGCCTTTGAGGCAGGCACTATAATTATGCCCATTTTATAGACAGGGAAACTGAAGCTTTTGAGGCAGGATTTGAACCTCCGTCTGCCTGACAAAGCCCGTGCTCTCTCCTATGAGGCTCTAGGAAGAGTGGATGGGTCTCCAATGGTGTGAAAGGAGGCAGAAACAGGCCCCCACTGACCCCTCAGATGAGTGACATGGGGACCAGTCAGGTTCAGTCAGTTAGGTGCTGGCTGTGTCCTAAAGACACTGGTGATCGCAAAGGGACAGACTGGCTTCTTGCCCCTCGTGGACCAACTTGGCAAGTCCCATCATAGGAAAAGATAATTTCACAGCCTCCAGGCCAAAGGATTCATCCCAGTGGAAGGAATGAACATATCTGTGGCTGGACAGAGCCTCACAAACCTGTCCATGTGCATGAAATCAGCCAGCCAGCGCCCTGCCTCCCTGCTCAGTATCCCTTTTGGGGAAAATGTAAGGGATGACAGAACCACTAGTTCCTGGGAAAGCACAGATTTTGGAAAGAGTTCTGGAAGGTGTCGGATAAGTGTTCTGCCGTCGACACTGGATGTTGTGTCCAGCCACCGCCCCTTCAGCTGCAGGCACTGACCTAGGCCTGGCCTGTCAGAGCAGAGAGTGCCCTCAGTGGCAGCAACAGAATCCGGGGTGCACTGCTTGTTCTCAGTCATCTTGGACTCAACCTGACAATCAAGCTCAAAGAGGCCATGGCTGGCTGGGCCCCACTCAGGACACAGAGCAAGAAACACTGAGCCACGGGGCACATCAGATGCATTTCCTCAGAGGGAACCAATCCAGCAATCCAGGGGCAGTTCTCTGGAGCTGTTTCCCAAGTAAACAAGGGAAAAACCCACCTATGTACTCCTTGGGTACCCCTCGGGTACTCTAGAAATAACTCTTGGGTGAAGTTTCCAGAGTCTTAGTGGGCACCTGCCTATCAAAGAACAAGTGGGTTCAAGGAGGCCCAGAACTGTGACTTCCCACCAGGGGCCACGTTTTGTCTTGCACCCTGGGCAACTCTGCTGTTCCCGGACCTAGAACTTATTGACAAGCTGCCCTTGGTCAGGGAACAGTGTTCTAGCAGAGAAAGCTTCTTAAGTAGAAGGAGAAAGGGTTTTTTAACTCTTCACTCACAAAAGGGAGAGCATGAACACCAAGCCAAACCAGTCCAAGTCTTTTGTGACTTTTGCTGAAGTTATTTGAAAAGTGGGCTGTTGGGGGCAGGGGGGTGGCTCAGTGGCAAAGGGCTTGCCTAGCATGCCTGAAGCCCTCAGTTCTGTTCCTGACAAAAATAAAAACAAAAACAAAAACAAAAAAGTAAAGAAGAGCACTATGGGTTGGGTTTGTGGCTCAGAGGTAGAGCGCTTGCCTAGCATGCATGAGGCACTGGGTTCGATCCTCAGCACCACATAAAATAAATAAAGATATTGTGTCCACTTATAACTAAAATATTAAAAAAAAAAAAAGAAGAAGAAGAGGGCTATCTTCCTAGGCAGGTCAGCCTGGAGATGCTAGTGTCCCCTCAGGTGCACAGAGCTGAGACAGTAAGAGCCAGGTGCCATCTAACATCTTCCGGTGACCTCCACTCCCTCATCATGAAGCTAGCGCTTCCTCTGAACTTTGTAGCTATACCAGCCTATAAATCCCCCTTTGTGTTAAGCCACTTTGGGTTGAGTTTCTGGTATCTGTGACCAAAACAGTCCTGATAGTATACATAAAGTTCAGTAAATTTGATATGGCAATAAAAAAGGAGGTGGGCTAGGCTTGGAGAACAGATGAGCTTCAGTCCTGATCTTCTAGATGACTGACTGGCTTTGGAGTAAATCTTCCCCTCTAGCCCTCAGAAAGGGTTCAACTAGTTAGGTCGAACCTATTAGTTGGGCAAAGCCCTTCACTAGAATTTCTGGGCCTAGGGCTTCTTGAGCTGTGGGTATGGGCCTTGGCTAGGAGACTTCTATTTCTTTTTCTCTCAGTGCTGGAGTTCCCACTCAGGGCCTTGTGCAAGCTACGCAAGCACTGTACCACTGGGCTACACCCCCAGCCCAGAGACTTCTATTTCTACCTGTCTCACATCTACACAGTGGGTGTCTGTGGAACACCTCATTTGAAAAAAGCTCTGCAGATAAAAGCAGAGTCCCAGCCTTCAGTGGACCCACCGAACTCTAAGAGAGGTGTCCTCCAGGCTCCGCTCCCTCCTGAATGTCCAAGCACTCAGCAAGCATCTATTTAATGGCATGATTAACCAGAGCACCTGGAGAAGGCTGTGGGTTATTCAGAGAGAAGCTATAGTCCTGCTGGGGGGAACCTGGGCTCCAGAAGGGAAGAGGGACATGGGAATGAGTGGAGGTGAGGAGTAATGAGCTCTAGGCTGTAAACAATGCCAATTCCCAGATACTGACGATCTCGAGGACTGAGGAGTTCTGGGGCACATGCCATCTGGTAGAGAGAGCAGGAGGGTCCTTTTTTTTTGTACTGGGAATTGAACCCAGGGGCACTTTACCACTGACTATATCCCCACCCTGTTTTATTTCTTGAGGTCTGGCTAAGCTGCTTAGGGCCCTGCTAAATTGCCAAGACTGGCCTTGAACTTGGGATCCTCCTGGCTCAGCCTCCCAAATCATTGGTATCATAGGCATGTGCCACCTGCAAGAGCAGGGTTCTGATCTGCTCAAGTCTAGCAGGAAAGGCATTTCTGTAGGAGAATGGCATGAACTAGTTAAGGGGGGAAATGCCGCAAGCCCGTAGACAAAACCAGAAGTAGGGTTCAGTTCTGGCCCTTTACCAAGTGCCATGCTGAGGGGCAGGCAGGATTTCAGTCACCATAAGCTGCCTCTGAGGCAGACATCTTCCCATGACCTGTATGCAGATATGAGAAATTAAGAAATCTATATTGGTCACTGCTTCAGTTCTTGACACAGAGCTCCTAAACCCATATAAGTTCCTAAACAGTAAGGGTGCTAAGACCATCTTTCCTTCTATTATTTAGTGTTTGACAGGTTCCTTACACAGCGTTCCTAAATCCTTTGGAACTTTCTGCAACTCTTGCTGGACTCCTATAAGAGGGACAGTCACCTGGAAAGAGCAAGCCATGATTAGAAGCCCGGACTTTCAGCCCTACACCCCCATCCTTTGCGGAGGGGAGAGGAGCTAGAGTTAATAATGCCTTCATACTGAAACCTCCAGAAGAATCCCTAACGCCCAGGTTTGAAGAGTTCCTTCTGGTGAAGAATGCATGGTGCGCTGGAGACAAGCTCCTGAGCCTGGCACCATTTCAGACCTCACCCTATGTGTGTCTTCATCTGCCTGTTCATTTGGACCCCCTAAAATATCCTTTAAAGGATCCAAATTGATAATCTATTAAATGAACTGTTTTGAGTTCTGTGAGCTGTTTTAGCTAATGATCAAGCCTGAGGAGGGAGTCACAGAAACCTCTGAATTATAGCAAAATTGAAAAAGAGTTGTGGGTAACATGGGATCCAACATGAGAAGCTAGCATCTGAAGTGGAGGGCAGTCTCGTGGGACTGAGCCCCTAACCTGTGATGTGTGCACTAACTTTGGGTCATTACCATCAGAACTGAATTAAAATTTCAGGATATCATGTGGCTACAGTTGTGTTAGAAATGTTGAGTGAGAGTGTAGAGAAAGAGAGCAAAGATTTCCTATATGGCATGTAAGAAACTAGAAGTATAAAGAATTTATAATGTGCCCAAGGTCACATGGGATGAGATGTACCTCAGGTGGCCCCAGGAGATGTTTCAATGTTCCTGTGTTCTATTCCTTTTGCTGGGATAATGAAACTCATACCTCCAACCTGCATAGTTCAGGAAAGGGGGAGAAGCCTTGGAGGGAACAGCCAGAGGCCCAGGGAAGCGCTCACCTCTGGAAGGAGGCCATGCGGTCTTTCAGAGCCTGCACGAAGGGGAGGATCCAGTGGTGACGCAGAACCACACTCTGAGACAGGCTGAGGTGGAAGGCCTCCATCCTCACCAGCCGGGGCACATAGGTCTGGGCGTGGGGTAGCAACAGATCAAGCAGCTCCAGAAACTCCTCCCTGGCTTCATCTGGAAGGAAGAGTGGAGCGGGTGGGCTGTTGTCTTAGCCAAGGTGTCAAGGCTGAGTGAAAAAGCCCAGAAGGCAGAGAGAAGCCCATATTACTCTGGGTTTGAGTCTGTATCTATAAAGCTTAATAAAATTTAACATGCATTTCTGGTTAAAGAAGTAATATGTGCTCACTGAAAAGAATTCAGGTAAACAAGATACACACAGGGAGGAGACTTCAGGTTTATAGTCCAGCATTAAAAAGCATGGAAGTTGCCGGGTGCAGTGCTGTACTCCTGTAATCTCAGCGGCTAGGGAGTCTGAGGCAGGAGGATTGTGAGTTCAAAGCCAGCCTCTACAACTTAGTGATGAACTAAGAAACTCAACAAGACCCTGTGTCTAAATAAAATACAAAAAAGGGCTCAGGATGTGCCTCAGTGGTTAAGTGTCCCTGAGTTCAATCCTCAGTACCAAAAAAAAAAAAAAAAGTTTGGAAGTTGTCACTTCATGCTAACAACAAGTAAAATGTTCAGCAAACTAAGAAAACAACAGCTCTTCTTAGATCTATAAGAAAAGTGAATGACACACAGCTGAATACAGAGGCTCACAAATTATTGGACCAGACATACATGAGCTGAAACCTGTGTGAGAACAAGGGCTAGCGCAGGGAGGCCTAAATCGTAATAGAAAAATTGCTGGAGACTCAGGGTATACAAATCTGAAAGTTAAAAACTCTAAGAGGATGTGGGTTGTGGGACATACACATATGCACACTGCTTTCTGAGGGTTAGGATCTGGAACTCTACCAGGTTCTCACAGAATTTTGGAGAAAAGTCATCTTGTGCTTCTGGCCCTTCTGGCACAAGGGGATAGAAAGAAACCATTTAGAAATTCTGTTTTTCTTAAAAGGTCTGCCTTAGGTTTAACCAGAGCCTGACCTGCAGGTGTTTTAATAGGAGCCCTACTGACCTGGGGGAAGGGAAATAACTTCAAACTGGCTCTCGCCTTGCTGTCCACAGTCCAGAGGCACAGGCTCACTTAAATGACTGGGACCTGATCACAGGGCTGTAGAATGCTTCCCCTTCATGCCTCACCATGTTACTGAAGGCCTGTTTACCATGTCCCTGTTATGCAATACATCATATCCAGCTATGAAGAAAATATGATAAAACATAATAAAAGGCAAAAAATACAGTTTAAAGAGGTATCAGAACATACAGTTTTAAGTAGGTATCAGAACCCCTTAACAAATTAAAAAGACTAGAAATCATACATTGTCTGACTTTGGGCCACAATGGAATTAAACTAGAAACTGATAACAGAAAGACAACTGGAAAATTCCCAGATACTTAGAGACTAAACAACACACTTTTAAATAACACCTGTGTCAAAGAAGAAATCTCAGGAGAAATTTGCAGATTTTGTTTTTTTGAGACAGAGTCTCCTTAAGTTGCTGAGGCTGGCCTTGAACATGCAATCCTCTTGCCTAGGTCTACCACCAGTTGCTGGGATTATAGGCAGGTACCACCTACAAGTATTTTTAAGTAAATGAAAATGAAAACAACTTATCAGAACTTGTAGGATGCAGCAAAAGAGGTGCTTGGAAGAATACTTATATCACTAAAGGCACATATTAGAAGATCTAAAATCGATCCTCTAAACTTCCTCTTTAAGAATCTAGAAAAAGGTTGGCTGGGGATGTGGCTCAAGCAGTAGCGCGCTCGCCTGGCATGCGTGTGGCCCGGGTTCAATCCTCAGAACCACATACAAACAAAGATGTTGTGTCTGCTGAAAACTAAAAAATAAATATTAAAAAATTAAAAAAAAAAAAGAATCTAGAAAAGGGGCTGGGGATGTGGCTCAGTGAGAGGCACTGGGTTCGATTCTCAGCACCACATAAAAATTAAAAAAATAAAGAAATATTATGTCCACCTAAAAATAAAAAATAAATCTAGAAAAGAACAAATTCTATTCCAAGTAAGCAGAAGAAAAGAAATAAAACAAATCAGCAGAAATTGATGAAATTAAAAAGAGGAAATTGAGGGCTGGGGATGTAGCTCAAGCGGTAGCGCGCTCGCCTGGCACGCGTGCGGCCCGGGTTCGATCCTCAGCACCACATACAAACAAAGATGTTGTGTCTGCTGAAAAAACTAAAAAATAAATATTAAAAAATTCTCTCTCTCTCTCTCTCTCTCTTAAAACAAACAAACAAAAAACCTGGAAATTGACAGAACTGGCAGGTATAGTTTGAATATGGGTCTTCCAAAGGTTTATATTGCTATATTGTTTATTAGTTATTAGAATTGATAAGATAAACTTCATTATGAGCTAGGGTTGAGGCTCAATGGTACAGTGCTTGTCTTGCATGTTTGAGGCACTTGGTTCAATTCTCAGCACCATTTAAAAATATAATAAGCAAAATAAAGATATTTTTAAAAAGGTAGACTTCATTAAACTTAAGAACTTCTGCTTTGAAAAAGATATTAAGAGAATGAAAAGCTACAGACTAGGAAAAAATACATTTGCAAAAGATATGTCTGATTAAAAATACAGAAAAATATAGAAGAAACTCTTAAAATGAAACGTAAGAAGATAAACAATTTGATTATAAGGTAGGACAGAAATCTGATTTGCACCTCACCAAAGAAGCTATACAGATAGCAAAAAGCACCTGAAAAGATGTCCCACATCATATGTCACCAAGGAAATGCAACAATACACCTGTTAAAATGGCTAAACTCCCGAATACTGACAATACCAAATGCTAACAAGGACATAGAGTACCAGGAACTCTGATTCATTACTGTTGGGAATGTAAAATGGCACAACCACTGCCGAGGACAGTTTGGTGGTTTCTTACACAACTAAACATAACCGTTACCACACAATCCAGCAACTGCCCTCCTTGGTGTTTACCCAAAGAAGTTGAAAACTTACGTCTACATGAAAGCCTATACACAGATATCTATATTTTATTCATAACTGCCAAAACTTGGACGCAATCACAAGTATCCATCTTTAGTAGGTGAATGGATAAATAAATTATGGTATATCCAGACAATGGAATGTTATTTAGTACTAAAAAAAAAAAAAAAAGTGAACTGTCAAGCCATGACACACATGGAGGAACCCTCAATATGTATTACTAGGTGAAAGAAGCCAATCTGAAAAGGCTACCTACTAAATGATTCTGACTCCATGGCATTCCGGAAAGGGTAAAACTATGGAGATGGTTAAAAGATCAGTGGTTCACAGAAGCGAGGAAGCAGGGGAGGGATGGATAAGAGGAGAGGATTCTTAGGGCAGTGAATTATATGATTCTATAATGGTAGCACAAGTCTCCCCACAGAAGGTACAACACCAAGAGTGAACCCTAATACAAACTTTGGAGTCTGGGTGATGGTGATGTACCAATGTAGGCTCATCAACTGTGACAAGTGCACCATTCTTGGTGTGGGATGTTGTTGATAATGGGAGAAGGCTACACAAAATAATAAGAGCCACCACCTACTTGTGTATTGTACTAGGAACCTGACAGAAATTATCTAAGTTCATCTTCCAAAGATAGGTATTACTATTATCTCCTTTTTGGAGGTGAGAAAACTGAGATTTGAGAAGTCCAAAGGACACCCAGAGCAGTAGATAGTAGACGAAGTCTGACTCTGGGCATTTTTTTTTGCCTGCTATCCACTTATCAGGGCTGGGGTGGCACAGACAGGGTTCTGGTTTCTTCCTCTTAGTTGTGGCTAAATACATCAAGAGGCACCTATTGGTCTCAATTGTTTGCCTGTCATACATGACTCACATGGTAGGTAGACATGGGTGGCCCAATTGCCTCGCTCATGGGGAAAGGTGCGCACACGTCCCCCATGTTTTGCACTGTCATCCTCAGGCCTCTCCTCTGTGCTGGGGAACATGTTCAGTACACTGTCGGGCACTGGAAACCTCTGACTAGGATCAGGACTCTGGCCACTGCAGAAGAAAAAAGGAAACAAGTACATTTATCTTTTTAGCATTCTCTGCTTTTATACACCCAACAAAAGCTGTAACCCCTTATAAACATGATCTTGAGTGTGGTTTTCCAGGCAAGTACATGAGGTAGCTTCTAGAAAGTCACAAAGCTTTCTCCCAAGTATTTGCACTGGAGTCTCTCAACAAGTCTGGGAAGCAGACCTTAGAATGAAGCATGGTCCCCATGAGAAACACTCGGGCAGGCAGCAAGGTGTGGTTTAGATATCACATCCCTGGTTGGACAGGCCTGAGATGGAGCAGCATTTTCTAGCTCTGTGATCTTGGGCAAGTGATGTACCCTTTCTGAGATACATGTTTCCTCATGTGTTAACTGTATTTCTACCTGACAAAACTACTAGGCCATCAACAGTGATACTGCTTGTAAAGCACTCAGCAAAGATAGTTACTTAAGAACCTAGGGCCCACAAAAAAAACAAAACAAAAAAAACAGACTTTCAAGGCTTTTGTCCACTTAAGTTCCCAGTCTCCAGTTTGGCTCAGACTAGGTGCTCAATGAGTATTTGTTGGATGAATTAAAAGGCTCTCCATATGCTGTGTGTGGGGAAGGCAGTGTATGTGGTTCTGGAGATCCTAGGGCACTTTACCATAAAGCTGCCTTCTCAGCCATCCCCTCTTAATTTTATTTTTAGACAGAGTCTAAGTTGCAGGAGGCCAGCCTCGAAATTGTGATCTTTTTGCCTCAGCCTCCCCGGGTCTCTGACATGTGCCACCGCACCCGGGTCTCCATAAGCTTAAGCAACTATTATCACTGCAATTGTGTTCAAATGAGGAAACAGACCTGGGACGGTGTGCTACCTTCCAGAACAAAGAACCCGCCAGCGTCCCAGGTTGGACCCGAGCTGGCGTCCTGCCTCCCAACCTTGCCGGAGCCTGGTGGGGGTACTCTGGGGCTTTGTCCAGGGGTGCCCTTTGGATCCTCCTTTCCCGCTTTTCTTTCCCCGGGAACCGCCTCCCCTCCCCAGTCGACAGATGCTCGGGTCTAGCGGGGTTCTCAAGCAAATCCGCGCCTCGGCAAAAGAGACTTCCTCGATCCTCACCGACGACAGTGCCCAGCCCCGGGCCTGGTCAGCCCCTCGGTCGCGGCCTCGATCTCAGCCTCAGCCTCGTCCTCATCTTCGGAGCCGCTGCTGCTGTAGCCCACCAGGGGTCCAGCGCTCATGGGGCCTTGTGCGACACCTTCACCGGGCAGGGCCACGGGCAACCTCAGCCCGCACCCCGCGTTCCGCTAAGCCGGAAGTGCTCCCGGGGGGGCGGGATGAGGGTATCACCGCCTCGGGGCGGGGCCGGGCGGGGCCAGAAGGGGCGGGACCCGCGGGACACTAGCGAGGACGGTGTCCGCGATCTGCACGCTGTCCGCATGCTGTTTGCCCGCTGGCTGCGCGTGGAGGGCTACCGGGCCTCCCGGAGCCTCCCCGCTCCATCCTTGGTGTGCCCGTTTCACAGGTCCCGGGGCCCCCTCCTCAAACCGGTTCAAAGTCCGAGCCCCGGGGCCGCTGCTCTCAGAGCTAAGCCGAGCGGTTTAGACGGGCGTCGGTTCCCGAAGATGAGAGGGTCCAGGCGGGCTCTCGCTGTCAGGTGCAGGAGTCGGGCGGGGGGCGGAACCGGCAGTCGTCTCCCCTGAGGCCGGGTTGGGTGGGCGCGAACTGAGCGCCCTCCCTTGGTCAGCCGAAGCGCGCCGGCCCGGCCTCGGTAGCCACAGTCTGGCGCACCCGGCGTGTCCGACCCGGCCAGGCCGCGGGGTCCCCGGCAGGGGGCGGCCTCGCTCCGCGCCGCCCGCTCCTCCCGCCGCAGCAGCCGCCGCCGCCGCCGCCGCCGCCGCCCCGGCTACCGCTCCTCCCCCAGCCCCGCCTCCTTGGCCCCCGCGCCGCCCGCTCGTCCGCCTGTCTCAGCAAGGCCAACGGTCCGTCCGCCCGCCCTCCCGGCGCTCCTCCGCCCCGGCCCCGCTAGCCTGGACGCGCGCGTAGCTTCCTCCGTTCCGGTCGCCGCAAGCCGGTTCCCCGCCCCCGGGCCGGCCGCCACCTCTACGCTAGGCCGGGGATTGGCAGCGCGCGTAGGCCGCGCCGCCGCTGATGGAGCTGGAATAAAGGGGCGGCCGAGAGAGCAGCTGGTCGCCGCTTGCCCCGCGCCTGGCCCCGCGGGCGGCCTGGAGCAGGTGAGCGGCGGGGCGCCCGGGGCTGCGTCTGGGGGCCGCTGCCGCCGCACCCGTTCCCTAGTCGGCCGGGCCGCCCCCCCACCCCACCCAGCCCCTCCGACCCGACCCGGCGGCCTCCTGAGTTCCTGGGCGGCCCAGGCCCGGCCTCCAAGCACAGCCGCTTCCCGGGCCGGGCCTGCGTCCCTGGGGCCTTCCTGGGGCCCAGGCACCCGCTCTCGGGCGGCAGGGGCTCGGCCCTCCAGGCGAGGGCTGACAGGAGGCAGCCCAGCTGGGCCGGCGGGTAGGGCTGGGTGGGAGGTGATCGGCTTTCATTTCTTTTCCTAGGGAGGAGGAAGAACTGGGGTGGGGCGCAGGTGGGGGCCTCCCTTTGCCTCCCCTCCACTCCCCTCATCTCTCCTTCCTTTTGTGGAGTGATTAGATAGGTTTTCTGGCTGCACCTTCCGGGAGGAGGATCAGGGTGGGCAGTGGGATTGCGCCCCAGGGGCCCCGGGCTCTGGCAGCCATTTATGCCAGAAAAAGAAACAACCACCACACAGTTGGATTGATGCAGCCAGACCTTGAATGTGCTCAGAGCAGCCACCTTTCTCCTCTGCCTGCTTAGATTACCAAGTGGTACCTGCTTGTTCATGCAACCTGCTGCCTCCACCAAGAGCAGCAGCCCCTTTCCTTCCTCCCTTCCCAGAAGATGCTGAGGATGACAGCTTTTAGCTTCACTCTTATATTTCTTTGACAGAACAGTTAGAAGTTAGGCTGGCCTATGAGGACATACTTTACCCTTCCTCCTCTCAGGAGAAAACTTACAAACTTTTCAACTTCAGAGGCGGATGAGCTGGAAACCTGAAAGTGGGTTGCCTGTGACTCTAAAAATTCCTCCCGCTCTCTGGCATTATCATATGCTGCCACAAAGTGGTGAGTTAGAGATTTGCCTAGGCTGGGTGGGCTTTACCTTGCATTGATTAACCAGAATATTATAGCCCTGGAGCAAGGTAATAGGTTGTCTCCAGAAGGGAGATGGAGAGAGATGCTCTGTTGTTACATGGCTGAGACAGACCAGTGCAGTTTCTCACATTTTTCTGCAGGCATTGACAGCCAGCCAGAGAGATTCAGAGGATTTAGAACTTTTTTTTTTTTTTTTGGTTTTGGTTTTCTGAAAGATGGCTAAAGTAAAGACATTCTGCTCTGTGGACAATGAGACTGGGTGGCTCTGGGAACCTAGCTCCTATCATCTGTGGGTTTAGGTCTCTGCCAGGCCATCCATCCTATTATGTGGCAAGAGGATAGGTATGTAGCCAGAGTGGAGGGCTTTGGGGATAGGTGAGGAGGGGTGTGAGCCAGTGCCACACAGGAGAGGGTTTTTGAGGTGGTCCTTGGTTCTATGTAGTTTTTCTAATGTTGTCTGCCAGAGGCCTTTTGCCATTGGGCTCTCAAACCTGGGAGGTGTGGCCTTTTTAGGTCAATAGACTGCTCCTTTGAGCAGTGGGGTCCTGGGTCAAGACTCAGGGTAGCAATGAGAATGGGCTTGCAGGCCTTAGGGAGGCCTCTGTATTGTGAACAGATCACCCCAGGCTCTCACCTGGAGACACCTGACTGAAGAGAATTGGCAGGAAGCTGAGGAAACTCATGTAGGCTAGGATAACCTAGTTCAGGCATGGGTAGAGTAGAGGCAGCTGCCATCCCTTTTGCCTAGAGGAGCTGAACCTCCCGCAGACTACTTTGGTGGCAAGTGAAGGGAACTTCTCCCAATCCTGAGTGTCTCTCTTCCCAAATGTGGTGTATGTCCAGGGGCAAGTGCAGGCGGAACAGGGTGAGGACTGGGGAAGGGCTGCTCGTTTCTGCTCAAGCTCACAGTTTTTCTCTTCCCCACAGAACTGCTCACTGTGGAAGGCAGAGTTTCCCTGGCAGTGTTGGGACCCTGCCTTGAAGCACCCCCTGCCCTGTAGACTCAGCCTTGTATTCTGTCTCCTCACTTGATGACTAGGGCCGTCTGACCAGTCCTCCTCCGTGCCTTGTCTGAGGTCCTTGTCCATCCTTGAGATTGGGCAACTTCTCTCTCTGAGTTGGGTCACCTTAAGCGGGAAACTGAAGCCATTAATCTCCAAACCCTGTTTCATCTTCCCAAGCATGTCGGAAAGCTGGCAGCAGCCGCCTCAGACACAGCCGCAGCAGCCCCAGCCACCCCAACCTCAGCACCATGCCGAGCCCCCACCGGCCCTGGCAGAGCATGCGCTGCCCCCTGGTACTGCTGAGAACCCCCTGGGCTGTGCGGTCTATGGCATCCTCCTGCAGCCAGACACGGGCCTGCAGCCTCCACAACATGCACCCCTGCAGGCAGCCGGGGAGCCAGGACCCAAATGCGGTGTGTGTGGTCACGACCTGGCACACCTGACTAGCCCTCATGAACACCAGTGCCTGGCGGGCCACGACCGCTCATTCCAGTGCACGCAGTGTCTCAAGATCTTCCACCAGGCCACTGACCTGCTGGAGCACCAGTGCGTGCAGGCCGAGCAGAAGCCTTTCGTCTGCGGAGTGTGCAAGATGGGCTTTTCCCTGCTCACCTCGCTGGCGCAGCACCACAGCGCGCACAGTGGCCTCGTGAAGTGTTCTATCTGTGAGAAGACCTATAAGCCAGCCGAGGCCGCAGAGCCTGCCACTGCTGCTGCCCCATCACTTCCGCCAGCTGCCCCGCCTCCGACTGTCGCCCCTGCGGAACAGGCTGATAAACCCTACAGCTGTCCCATCTGCCAGAAGCCCTTCAAGCACCTGTCGGAGCTCTCCAGGCATGAGCGGATCCACACAGGTGAGAAGCCGTACAAGTGCACGCTGTGTGACAAGAGTTTCAGCCAGTCGTCCCACCTGGTGCACCACAAGCGCACGCACAGCTCCGAGCGGCCCTACAAGTGCGCGGTCTGCGAGAAGACTTTCAAGCACCGCTCTCACCTGGTGCGCCACATGTACGCGCACTCCGGCGAGCACCACCTGTTCCGCTGTAATGTGTGCGAGCTGCACTTCAAGGAGTCCTCGGAGCTGCTGCAGCACCCCTGCACTCCAAGTGGCGAGCGGCCCTTCCGCTGCGGCGAGTGCCAGAAGGCCTTCAAACGGCCCTCAGACTTGAGGCAGCACGAGCGCACGCACAGTGCGGAGCGCCCCTTCAAGTGCGACCTGTGCCCCATGGGCTTCAAGCAGCAGTATGCGCTGATGCGGCACCGGCGTACGCACAAGACGGAGGAGCCCTTCAAGTGCGGGCTGTGTGAGAAGGGCTTCGGGCAGCCCAGCCATCTGCTCTACCACCAGCACGTGCACACCCTCGAGACTCTCTTCAAGTGCCCCATGTGCCAGAAGGGCTTCGACCAGTCGGCAGAGCTGCTACGGCACAAGTGCCTGCCCGGCGCAGCCGAGCGGCCCTTCAAGTGCCCTGTGTGCAACAAAGCCTACAAGAGGGCGTCGGCCCTGCAGAAGCACCAGCTGGCGCACTGCACCGCGGCCGAGAAGCCCCTGCGCTGCACCCTGTGTGAGCGCCGCTTCTTCTCTTCCTCCGAGTTTGTGCAGCACCGCTGCGACCCAGCCCGAGAGAAGCCGCTGAAGTGCCCAGACTGTGAGAAGCGCTTCAAATACGCGTCAGACCTGCAGCGGCACCGGCGGGTGCACACGGGCGAGAAGCCCTATAAGTGCCCCAACTGCGACAAGGCCTTCAAGCAGCGCGAGCATCTTAACAAGCACCAGGGTGTCCACGCCCGAGAGCAGCAGTTCAAGTGCGTGTGGTGTGGCGAGCGCTTCCTGGACGTGGCCCTGCTGCAGGAGCACAGTGCACAGCACAGTGCTGCCGCTGCAGCTGCCGAGGGCGCCTACCAGGTGGCCGCCTGCCTACCCTGAGGCCAGGCGATGGCTCCTAGGGCCAGCCCAGCCTCGCCTCCTTATAGCTGCAGCCCACCAACCCCCCACCCAGCTCCATCTTCTTAGGCTCCGGGAGTGAGGACGAACAGTACTGGGCCAGTGGAGGGTGAGTGTACTCAGCACTCCTGTCACCAGCCTGGCTCTGGGGAGCCAGATCGCTGTGGCCAGTCCTGACTCCATAAACCTCTTTCCCGTTGCAGGGTTTGCTTTCTGA